ACACACACGTGCGAATAAACATCTAAAAAAAAAAAAAAAATCAGACAACCCATAAAAGTGACGCGTAATCGTGGGATTTCAACTTATCCGTTACGTGCTGACGTGCTGTTCGAACGCAACGAATATGACGCGCGTTTTTTTTTTTTTTATCAATCGGTAGTAGATTCAGGACGGGATTTATCCGAGAAAATCGCCCCGTCGTCGCAGAGGGACCTTCCTAATCAAGAGGGAATGCGTTCGTACGTTGGTACGCCGCACGGAACTGATGGGAAACGGAGCATTCCGCTCCCGCCGCATCCCGTGCGGGGGCCCCCGTTCTTAGGGAGTATTAGTGACCACTCTCTCTCTCTCTCTCCAGGATCACCTCGAGGGTTCTAACCTACGCGAATTTCCGATCCGAACTACACTCCGGTTTATTCTCCCTCCCCGGGTTTCCACCTCTCGTCGTTAATTCATCCCAGTAGATTGACTAGAGAGATACAAGGGATTCGTCAACTAACACGCGCGTTCGGGTTCCGTAAAGGGAGAGTAATTTAAGTACACTTAGAACAGCTCCGTTATTGTTTGTCGACGCGACAATCGTGACATTTTCTGAATACGTTATCAATCTATTGAATTTGTTAAAATTAAATTATTAAAATTGAAATGAAAAAAAAAAAGACCAAAAGGCCCCTCAAATAAACGTCGCTTTGTGTTAGTTTTTTTTTTTTTTTTTTTTTTGAGAAAGACAAGCGCCGGCTGATCGCGTCAGGTGGAGGGAAGGGGGGGGGGAGGGTACGATCGTTCGTTCGGCAAAGAACGCTGATGGAAAATGACATTATCTTTCGGTATATAAGTCGGCCGAGTCACCAAGGGGGACGATTCGTAATTGCTTAAGTTAAGGAATGCGCACCGCGCGCTTGGACGTATAGTCGGGGGAAAGCGAGGCAACAGAAGAAAGAAAGAAGAAGAGAGCGGGCAAGAGAGCAAGGGAGGAACGGAAGAGTATACCGAGGGGTAAGTTCAAGACCGTGGGATGGCTATGAATTTAAATTTCTCTAATTAGGACGCACGGGAGACGCAGTGACGCTACGTTGGTAGCTTTCCCTTCGGATCCCTCATTTCCCTCTCTATCTTTGTTCCTCCCACCTCGTCCGTCTCGTATCCGCTTATATATACATATATATATACATATATATATAACAAAATATATTCAACACATTATAGTTATAATATTTACCATACATACATTTTAGGTATATTCATAATTTCATACGCGTGTGTATATATATANATATATATATATATATATATGTACGCTCTTCTTCGTCAGGTCTCTTATTCTCTCCGGCGCGCGCGGATCCTTATCCTCCATCGTTCTCCTTCGCTCCCGCCGGCGTTTCCGCATAATATCGTACTAGCCGCAAAACTCTCCCCGCGCGCGCTGAAGTAACTCAAGTAAAGAGGTGGCTCTCGCATTCGCCGTAGTTGACTCCACCTGACTCAGATTTGTTGCTTCTCACGTTCTAACCGAAATTTATTTGAAGTCCGCTTGCGCGGGTTAATTAACGTCTCTCTCGGGGATGGAGTTAGTCGGTCGCGCGCCACCCTCGGAATCTCCCCGGGCATACAACGGGGGTAGCGACGGGGAAATCGCGGGAAGTGTGTGTGTATAAAAGCGAAGCAATCAAACATAGTCGGCGGCGTGTCGCGCGAGTAATTGAATGGCTAGTGGTATAACTCCGGTGTGTGCGCGAGAGCGGTCCGATGTCCGGATCGGACATTGTTTCGTATATGGTTCTAAACGCGGACTCTTCTCTCTTCCATCATTCATATAACGTTTCGTTCGTGTTTTCGAAAAGTTACAGAGAGAGAGAGAGAGAGAGAGAGAGAGAGAGAGCGGAACACGCTCTCTTCCGCTCGTTTCTCGTAACGTAATTCAATACACTCGGCGCGCTTGACACGAGTATAATTTTACACAACGGACAAGATGAGAATAATACGGTTTTCTTTTTGACAAACATAACACACGGTTCTCTTCTATTATCGGACAATATTAATTAATTTCTAGCGATCGCTTGCGCGCGGAATAAATAATTTGGAAAACTATTTGAAAAAGTTGAGGATGTATAAAAACAAAAAAAAAAAGATTCTGAGTTCAGAATCTATTGAACTTTGAAGGATGCGAGCGTTCAGTTTTCCGTTTGAGGTATCGAATATTAACAGAGTTATTGCAATCAAATAGAAAGTCGTTTTTGCGTTCAAACGCATTAGTAGAGCGAGAGACAAATTTTCAAACATCTCGATAATCGAGTCTTCTGTTATTCATCCGGATGAGCGACCCGGAGAGCGGCAGAAAGGGGAATTCTCAGAGAGTTTCAGCGACCATTAGCGAGAAACGGACTAAGCCGGCGACTTAAAAAAAAAAAGAAAAAAAAAGTTTCCGTGCTGCATATATTAAACCCGTGTAAATGTGTCTTCTCGCGTCGGTGTGCACGAATCTTAATTCTTTCTTAGTTATCTCCTTCCACTAATTCACAATGATGGCGAAGAAGGGAAAATAGGGAAGGTCAAAGATAAAAAAAAAAAAAAAAGAAGAAGGAGAAGGGAATAAAGTTTAAAGCCGCGGCCAACATTTTTCGCCGCCTTTATCTTGAAAGATTAAAGGCTTAAAAGGTGTTCACCACACCGCCACACCGGTATGTATTTTCGTCGTCCGATCGCGGACTTTCTGTTTTCCAAATTGCAATACGCTCATTATTCTCTTCAACACCCGTTAGATAATCAAAAGAAAAAAAAAACAGTTGGTTTTTGCGACGGCAAAATAAAACGAACAAATCTAACAAAATCGCACACAGAGCCGTCAGAAGTAAAAACCAAAATGTAGCCAAAAAACCGGTCCTAAATTATATAAATATTCAATTAAATTCGAATTACATTAGAATTCGCAAAACTGCGATAATTAAAAGTATTGATTATCGGAGGATACGAGCGCGCGGCGGGAGTGATCTCGTACATCTGTTCATTAGGTAATGAACTTATTAAATCAGAGAGAAGCGCGCGCGTTGTGTGTCTGTGTGTGTGGCGGGGGAATTTATCTATAATACGGGTCTCCCCTTCGCGTTCGTTATTCGCTTAATTATCTGGAAACACTGTAAAGGTTAATTGTAATTGGAAATAATATCAACCGCGTGTTCCGTGTGTGTGTGTGTGTGTGTTTTTGTTTTTGCCGTTTAATGCAGACTGCTAAAGATTTTCGCACGAATGTGTTCTAAGAAAGAAAATATTGATTTTCCGTTTTTCCGTAAGAATCAAATCGTTCTCAAACAATCGTTGCTTCATGTCGATTGAAAATGTCTCATTTCCTAAAGTGAACCAATTTCCGCGCACCAAGTCCCGAACAATCGGGAATAAGATCGCGAACGAGATCCGTGATTTGCAAACGATTGGAATTCAAATTATGAACGTATTGATAAAACGTACAAGAGACAAGGATTTTCCTTTTATCTTTTTCTTCTCGAAACTCGTCTTGTTGCGCGCGAAACGAATCTTTTTCGTCACTTTTCCGGGATGCTGAGTGTTACATTGGAGTGTTTGGTGAATCTTGGTATAAAAAAAAAAAAAAAAAAAAAATATCGCACCGAAACGATAAATTATTTGAGACATTTGTGTCTTAACGTTTGTTTTACATTTAAAAATCTCACCCGTTCTCAAAAAGTGTGATGACTAACGCACGTCGCGATTTAAACAACGTAAACGGAGACATGGTGAATGTGGTGATAACGCGATCACTATCTACGATACGACAACAAATTGGCATTAGCTCTCGAGATAATGAACTCATTTCAAAATACGACACACACACACACACACACATATATTTCAATTCTTGAAATTTCTCACCTTTATCTACAATAGCAGTAAAACTGCAACATCCAAACACCAATCTGTATGTAAATTTGCAACAATATTCTAGAAACAGTGTCGTCGAAGCGACAACGATCAGATACAAATTTTCCCTTCGCGTTTCTCTTTTCTTGACCTCATTTCGCGCACCGTTTCTGCGGTGTCATTTGACAAAAAAAAAAAAAAAAAACAAAAAAAGAAAGAAAAAAAAACAACAGTATTTTCCTCAGGTGCCTTATCGCTCTTGCCGCGAGAGTTTATGAGGAAACTCTCGGTCTCTCACCGGAAAGAGAAAGATTCCGAATTCGTCTTCGACGGAAGCGCGAAAGTACAAGCGGCGAGATGAAGCGAGAGGACACGGGACGTAGGCGGAGAGAGAGAGAGAGACAGAGAGAGCGAGAGAGAGAGAGAGAGAGAGAGAGAGAGCGTGGAGCTGCTGGCCGTTATATGTGAAAGCGTCAGCACACACGTTTGTATGGTGGGTTTGTATGGTGGCTCGTCCGACAATAGGCATTGTGCACCCGCCATAACCAGGAACCGAACGCGACAGCACCACGCCAGCATTGTCCGAGTGTCAGCCAGCATCCTTCTCCTCACCCTCGCTTTCTCTCGCACACCCCGTTCGCTCTCTCTCTCGCGCTCTCGTCCTACACACATTTCGTTCATTTCGCGCGTTCCGGTTCTTCATAAATCCCTTCTTTTCTCATTTAGAAGACTCGCGCTCGAGTCTTCTTAACATCTCGACGACGATCTCGGCAACAATTTTTGAACGACGAAACCGCCGCCGATCCTCCTCTAAAAAAAGGCAAAGGTGACAATATATAGTCAACTGCGCATAACACGACCCTTCGCTATTGGACGATGAATTTTAGCGGTCACTTGTGAAATCAATTACTTAATTTTTTTTTTTTTTTTTAATCTGTAATGTTTTGTCACACATTTTTATAAATAATATCTTAATTAATTATTTTGCAACCGAGTCAGAACGTTTAACGAGCCGCAGATTTATCGCGATATTATGCGCGCGACTGATAAGCAGATCGTAGATAGCGGGGACGGGAGATAGCAATCTCCAAGTAGATAAAAGCGATCTATCGATTAGGGTATATAAAGAGAGAGTTTAGATAGTCGCTTCTCATTATTTAGTGACTCATATACAGTAAAGAGTGCAAAAAAAAAAAAAAAACAACGATATTCGCAGCAAAATGAAAGGTAAGCTCGTTCTCTACCCCCTCGTCCCCCCTAAAAAAAAAACTAGCTATTTGACGGTGATTGATTATCGTCGCGCTCTCTTGTCTAATTTATTTTCAGTCACACTTTCCATCGCAATTGTCCTGGCCCTGACGGCTGTGTTACACGCCCAAGCCGATGATGAGGTCGAATGCCCGCTCAGAACACCGGAACCAGGAGACGAGGCCGTTCTTATTCCCCATCCTACCGACTGTAAACTCTACTACGTTTGTGACAACGGCATTCCGATTCTGATGAAGTGCCCCAAAGATCTGCACTTTAACCCCGAAGAGAAAGTTTGCGATTTCTGGTGGCGCGCTGGGTGCGAGGACGAAACCAACAGTTGATCACATTCCCCCCCTCCCCCCCGATCGCACCGCAAGCGCACATGTAAACATCGTGCAATCACTATTTTACCGCTTCGGTGCGGTGATCTACTACTATTTAATTTGTTGCGAAAACTACGTACGTATATATATATACATGTTTGTACGCAACAGTGCTCGGAGCGAGCGCTGTTTTTTTAAGTAAATAAATTTCCGTTCGTCATCCGAAGTGTGATGCGTCTTTTGTTTTTTACTCTTCACAGCTACGAGACGTTATTTTAATTTAATCAATATACGCGACTGCGCGATATCGGAATTGCCTGAAATATAAATATCGTCAAATATCGACGATAACAAACGCGGATTTGCGATAAAAGCCGGTTGTCCGAAATCGCACAGTCCGCACAGGCGTGTGATATAACAAAAAAATGACTTTATCAAATACGTCGGTCGTTTTGTTGCAAAGAAATTATGTTTCGATAATCAAACAAAAAAAAGAGAGAAAGAGAACGTAGAGTAGATTCAATCATCGTTCGGAGAAATTCGAAAAGAAGTTCGCGGCGCGCTTCGATCGGAGAAGAATGAGAAAGAAATGCGCGGGAATGAGAGAAGAAGAGGAAGAGAATGTGACAGAAAAGGGAAAACCTCATCACACAGCGATGACACTTAAATTCTCTATTTCGTTTTGAGCTTCGAAGCTTCGAAACTCGGAGTTTGTCGCGCCGGCTCACGCGCCAACAACGTCGCTCGCTCTTCTCCGTCAGTTAATGTCGTATTCTCCGTTGCGAAAAAAAAGAAGAAAAACGATAGAAAAAGGCACGTGAAAAGGAAAGGAACGAACGACGAACAGAGGAACTCGCAAGAGCGAACGGATCCGAGAGACTTTCTTATCGGTACGAGTCAGCTGCCGACTGCCAGCCGGGCTCGCTTACGCGCGCATCTTCTCGTATGTTCCCTCTCATCCCCCTCCCACGTTTTCCTCCCTTCTTGTATTCTTGTCGCTTTCTTTCTCTCTCTCTTTCTCTCTCTCGCTATACCTTTTTCTTCCATCACTTTCACTCTGGCTTCTTGCTTTACTCTTGTGCCATTTCCCACCTTAACACTCGCCGAAATGTATCCGGTTGGTGGAGCATCAACGAGGGCGCGCTGTTAATGGATTCTATTCTGTATCAAATTGGAAACCGATTGCTTTTTTTTTTCTCTCTCTCTCTTGTCGCCGTTGTTATAAGATGCGTCGCCGGATAGAGTGTGTACGATCGATCCGGGAGCGTTTCATCACTTGTTATTTTTATCACGACGAAAGAGAGAAAGATAGATAGAGAGAGAGAGAGAGAAAGGATAAGAGAATCTATTATTGCTGCAACACCGTTATTCCGTTTCGCATTCGCGAAAACAGAGATTAAGTAATGACAATTTTTTAAAAATAAATTTGATCAGAGCCACAAATTCAATTTTCTTTTACTAAACTCTTCGAACGTAACAAGTTTCTTTAAATAAATAAAAGTAACAAACATTAGGCTCCGAAATTTGAAAAATTCTTCATAAAACAGTTGACGGGGAATTCGATAAGATGAGCCTTGGATGTGTTAATGTGTTAAAATATCTAATTTATTCAATCTTATAACCCCAACGTTTCGATTTTGGATCATCTTCAAAGGAAATATAAAAAGTAAAAAGTTCTGTACAAAAGTTCATGTGAAAGAGAGAAGAAAAAAAAATAACAAATTATGAATAAATAAATAAACCCCCACGAACGGGTCGTTTGATAATTTTTTTACACTCTATTTGTAAGTTTTTCTTTTTTTTTTGGTACTTTTTTTTATTTATTTATTCATAATTTGTTATTTGTTCGCTCTTTTACATGAACTTTCGATATTGTACAGGACTTTCTACTTTTTATATTTCCTTTGAAGATGATCCAAAACTAGGATGTCAAAATGTTAATTACAAGATTGAATAAATTATAGATATTTTAACACACACAAACATCCGTGTCCAAGGCTCTTATTGGCCCTGTCGACTCTTTTATAAAGAATTTTCTTTAAATACTTTATTTATTTTGATATATTCTCGACTTCGAGACCAGATGATTACAATTGCTTTTTTTTTTTACAAAGCTAATTAATTTGCGATATTCCGCTGTTATCTCACGTGTGTTAAAATTGTTTTCATTGACACGCAATGGTTATTTAAAAACAGCCGATAACAAAATAACATTTATCTTTCCTTGAAAAATGTAAATTAAAAGCCGTTAAAAAGCTCGCAATTAAAAGCTCGTGTTTTCAATATGAATTGCAGCCGGTCTTTATTCATTATTACGCCAGTTCTTCTTTTTCATCGCTCGAAAGATAAAGGAGGTTCAAAATACATAATCTCATGTTTAATTTATGCAGCTTGTTTTACCAGGTGGTACACATTCTGTCGTTGGTGCATTACGCGCGGCAGAAGAGGGCGAATTAATAGCCGGACGTTTTTCTACAAGTAAGTAAGAAAACGGTAGAACGTGAAAGTATATAAAACACACACCCACACACACACACACACACACACACATGTATATATGATATAAAGAAGAGACCGTAAGAGAAACAGAGGCATCGTGATTATGAAATGCTCGGATGGCGTGCAAAGAACCGCGAGGGCCTCTCTCCGTCCGTTCTTCACGAGAGACGTGCGCGCTTAAAGCTTCGTTCGTCAGCAGATTGCAAAACTTTTTGTTGCGTGTCCTCCTTATTATACACGAGATTTATTGCTCGAGGGAGAAGGGAAACGGGGGCTATTACACATCGCGGCATTTGTTTTCTTTTTTTTTTCGCTTTAATATCGCTTTTCAATTAGAGCGAACGTCAAAAAAAAAAAAGAAAAAAAAAAGAAAAAAAAAATTTTCTATAGCCGGTGCATTACGGAATGGAAGAGTGAAGCTGGCCAAACTGCCGGTGCTGGCAGTCGTCCTGCGGTGTCCCCGAGGAAATCAAATTATCGATATATGTGGAGCCGATGCGCGCACACGTAACGTATATGTATGACGAAGTGCAAGCCGAGGCACAGGTGGCCGACTGATATTGGTTTTGCTTCCGGATTTGGCGGACACCCTTTATAGCGGGTGGGTAGACGCGGACGAAACTCGCCACGAAGGGCAATTACCCCACTAAATATTCACAAGTTCATTACAAGCGGAGATGCATTCATCCCTTCGCCTCTCTCTCTCTCTCTCTCTCTCCGCCTTCTATCCCTTCCTCTCGCTCTTCAACCCCTTGTGTCTTTACTCTGCTGTTTCTCTAACACCAGTAACGTTCTCAAAATAGAACCCAATTTCCAGAAAGTACTGCGGCACCACTTTGTTTACATCGCGAATAAACGCGGTTTCTCGCGGATTTGATTTGACAAATTGATGTGCGAAAATCATTCTTCCGCGAATCCTCACTGATTGTTAACGAGTTACGCGCAAATACGCGCGATAAGATTGCCCCACGAGTCGTGATATCTCTTCTTGCAAAACCAAAGACGTGGATTATTAGGCAAATGTTATGCACGCGACTGTTTGATTAAGCGGAACCTGAGAAACTATATTCACCCTCTCTCTCTCTCTCTATCTTTTGGTTTTGTTATCTCTTTCTTTTTTCCCCGCGTCGCTGTGTGAGACGCGCGTAACATTTTGTCGCTGATGTCGTAAAAAAATAACGAGAAATCGCGCAAAATATCTTCCTCTTTTCATCATATCTTTCGTTTCGATGAAACCGGAATTAACTCCGTGTAATTTTCTCATGTATCAGATATTTTTTATGCGACACCGTTTATATGCAGGCATAGCTGGAAATCCAAGAGCTAACGGTTCTCACGTTCTCAGTAGTGCGCGCCCCCCCCCCCCGGTCCAAACACACGCCGCGAGGTTTTTCCGACAAAAAGCTCATAAAAATTTAATAGATCGTTCGACCCGAATGCAACGGCAAGCTTTTTATGGCTTATAAATGTTTCGTTTGACCGAAAACAATTTTCTCGGTCCGGAGATCACGACGTAAACTCGTTGCAGCATTGGTCAGCTTAATTCGTCTTTTGAAAAAAACTTTAATCTTCGCGAGAGTCTATAAACGCGCGAAAAGCGCGCATTTTTTTTTCTCATTGAAAAACGCTGCGAACTTCTCGAACTCGATATTTATAATTTTGTACAATAATATATATATATATGTAATATGTTAACAATTATATTTTATCTACAATTTGTATGTGTGTGTGTGTGTGTGTGTGTGTGTGTGTGATGTCTAGTTATTTATTAAATCGTTTCACCAAACTTATAGTATAATTAGACAAGAGTTTTTTTGACAAATTCAATGACGCGTCTGTCAGATTGATTTCTGGCATATCATATTTTACTCGAAATTTTCGAGAGAATCGCACGCGCGTCAGCTATTCTGCCGAGGGACTGCCTCGATTAAAATTCGATCGGTTATCGTCGTTATGTCACGTGATATTTCGATTTATGTGTACGATGCTGATAACAATCCAGCGGATTACCGAAACCCACGCGCTGATTAATCGACAGACAAGAGATATCAGAAGTCGATACAGTCCTTCCGAGGCAGTTTGGAATTACCGGCAACACAATTAAAAAACTTTTTTCCACAAAAATTACAAAACTCTCTTCATAAGTCAAGCCGTTATTGCAAACTCAATAATTTTAACACGAGACCGACATCGGCTGGACTAATAAGTGAATTAATCAATTTGATAAAAAAATTAATTGAAAAAAAATTTTTACACTAAACACGTAAGTTGAAAATTTACTCTAAAACCTTTTTTTTTATTAATCCAAATGTGGTTAGATTAGACAAAATGACAGACACAGAATTATTAGATGATTCATATTTACCGCTAAATTAAATCAGCTGACAAAATTCTCTACAAACAAGCCTTAACATATTTTGAGTCCTCGAACGTGACTTTCATTTTGTTTTCAGTCTTGAATACATTTACAAACCGACAACAACGACATGTAACCTAACAAATTTTAATTTTAAATGTAAATAGGAATTTATTTGTAAGTCATATTTTTTTTTTTTTTTTTTTTTTTTTTCAATACTTTTGTCACACACAACAATTATACCTAAATTTGTTTTCTATCAGTACCCACTGAAGATGACTGTAAATACAGTTGAAACGTTTGGGCAAATCTAGTGTTTTTCTTTACCTATCTGCAAAAAACATCCAGCAACTTGTTCAGATACGTCTAAT